GTTCTTCCACTTAACCAAAACTTGAGTGGCTGCTCGACCCTGTCTCTTCACCATCTTTCTCTCCAAAATTTTCTCAGGCTCTTGAATCAAAACATCAGAGATCACTACTGGTAACTCCGTTGAAGTTACCACATTTCCCAGTAACACCTTTAGCTGAGAAACATGGAAGACCGGATGTATTAATGATGAAGCTGGCAGCTGTAGTTTATAAGCAACGTCCCCACAACGATCAATAATCTTGTAAGGTCTAAAGAACTTTGGTGAAAGCTTGTTATTAGACCTAACCACCGTTGATTGTTGCCGATACGGCTGCAACTTCACATACACGTAATCTCCAATATCAAAAGAACGCTCTGTCCGATGCAAGTCTGCATTTTGCCTCATCATATGCTGAGCTCGTAAGAGATGGAACTGCAGCATAAGGATCATATCTTCTCTGTCTTGCATAGACTTCGCCACTACTGCCACCTTAGACTCGCCCGGTAAGTAAGGTAGATGCATAGGAGGTGCATGACCGTAGACATCTTCAAAAGGTGTCATCTGTGTAGCAGTATGGAAAGTTGTATTGTACCAATACTCAGCTAGTGGCAACCAGTTGCTACACAGATGAGGTCTTTCACTGGTCATACATCTTAAGTAAGTCTCCACACACTTGTTAACTATCTCCGTCTGTCCGTCACTCTGAGGATGATAGGCAGTGGAATAGTTCAATGAAAAACCCCCTGTAGTGAAAACATCTCTCTCCAAAATTCACTGAGGAACACAGAATCTCTATCACTTACAATCGTCTGAGGAAACCCATGAAGCTTGAAGATATTATCCAAAAACTCTTGAGCCACAGAAGCTGCGGTATAGGGATGTTTCAGAGCAATAAAGTGTGCTGCCTTACTAAGACGATCAACCACAACCCATATGACTGTCTTACCAAAAGAATTAGGAATACCATTTATAAAGTCCATTGAAATGTATGTCCAGACTGCGGTTGGTATAGGTAAAGTTTGTATCAACCCTGGTGAAGCCACTGTCTCATGTTTACAACGTTGACAGACACTGCAACTTCTGATAAATGCTTGTATGTCTTTAGTCATACCCTTCCAGTAAAATAAGCTTTTAACTCTCTGATGAGTTGCATCCCTTCCTGAATGTCCTGCACTACCAGACCCATGAAGCCACTGCAATATATTTTTTCTCAGGTCAGCCACTGCTGGAATCACCAGTTTACTCTTCCTTCTTAGTGATTGTTGGGACCAAGAGAAATGCTTATGAGAGTCCGGTTTCTCTTCAAATCCTCTATCAACTGCTTTGTCATTGGATCCATTACATAACTCTCCTGAATCTGTTTCAGCAAGTCACACTCCAGCACAGAGAGAGCCATGCTTAAAACGTCGAATCCCTCCACTCGAGAAAGAGCATCTGCTGCAAGATTATCCTTCCCCTGCCTGTATTGAATCTCATAATCGAATTCAAGCAGCTTAGGCATCCATTGTTGTTGTATAGGAGTATTTAACCGTTGTTCCAAAAGATATTTCAAGCTTCTCTGATCTATTCTGATGATAAAATGATCATTCAACAGATAGTGTCTTCATTTCTGCACTGCAAAGACCACTGCCAACAACTCTTTCTCATAAATGGAAAGATGCAACTGCTTTCCTTTTAGATGCCTACTGATATAAGCCAAAGGATGTCCTTCTTGCATCAAAACAGCTCCTATTCCATTCCCACAAGCATCAGTCTCCACTACAAATTGCTTGTCAAAGGCAGGTAAAGCAAGAACTGGTGCTTCACACAACGCATTCTTAAGTTCTTCAAACGCCAACTGAGCCTCCTCTGTCCACTGAAAATCATCTTTCTTAGAGAGAGCAGTAAGAGGACGTGCAATACTACCAAACCCTTTGACAAAGCGCCTATAATACCCGGCCAGACCAAGAAATCCTCTTAATTGATTAAGGTTTACAGGTTGTGGCCAGTTTTGTACTGCCTTCAGCTTCTCTGGATCAGTAGAAACTCCCTTTGCTTCAATATAATGTCCCAAGTATTGAACTCTCTCTGTTACAAAATCACATTTGCTCCTTTTTGCATACATGTTATTCTCCTTCATTACTTCAAATACTTGCCTGAGGTGAGTAGCATGAACTTCCAACGACTCACTGTACACTAATATATCATCAAAGAATATGAGTACAAATTTTCTGAGAAAAGCTTTGAAGACTGAGTTCATCAGATGTTGAAATGTTGCAGGGGCATTGGTTAAGCCAAATGGCATCACCAAATATTTATAATGGCCACTGTGAATTTTAAAAGCCGTATTATGAATATCAGTTGGATCCATTCTCACTTGATGATAACCTGCCCTCAAATCAATCTTAGAATAAATTTTTGATCCTCCTAATTCATCCATAAGATCTTCAATCAGTGGAATAGGAAACATGTCCTTCACAGTCATACTATTGAGGTTCCTGTAATCCACACAAAGTCGCCAACTTCCATCCTTTTATTTTAACCAACACCACTGGTGAAGCGTATGAACTTGAACTCGTTTGTATTGTCCCTGCATCAAGAAAGCTTTGTACCATCTTATCAATCTCGTTCTTCTGGTATAAAGCATATATGTAAGGACGTTGATTCACCGGGTTAGACCCTTCCAATAACGGAATTCGGTGATCATGCTCACCCTATGAGGAGGTAAAGTTGTAGGCTCTGCAAAGATAGGCTTAAACTCCTCCAATAGTGAGTTGATCATGTTATCCATCTTGTCTGTTTTAGAAATTTCAATGGTAGACAAAGACGGTTCCATATCAACTTCATTAGATTGAAAATAGATCATAGAGATTTGAGCTTGGTCATGTGTGAGCTTAGCCACATTGACTGACTTCACCTCCTTCACGGATCCTTCTTTGATGCCATAAAGCAAAACTTTCTTCTTCTCCCATTTAAACTGCATTGTTAACTCTAGGAAATCCCATGTAATAGGTCCTAAAGTTGATAGCCACTGAACTCCCAAAACCATATCACAATTTCCCAATGGCAACAGCATAGTGTCCTGACAGAAAGAAGCATTCTGAAAGGTCCATTTAAAGTCTTCGATCCTTTCCTGAACACGCAGTTTCCCTCCATCTTCTACTGCTACACGATTCATCGTTGGGGCCAGTATATTACAGCCCAACTTAGATGCAACACGTGGATCCAAAAATTTATGTGTGGATCCAGTATCAATGAGAATATACAGAACTCTTTTCTCATATAATCCGCGGACCTTCATTGTCATGTAACTCTCAGTAATTCCTGCAACGGCACTAGCAGATATCTGAGCAATATCTCCTTCCTCTCTCACCTCTTCTTGAGGCTCCTCCTCTGCCTCAAAATACTCCTCACTATCATCTAAATCCATCAAATACAACTGAGTTTTCTTATGCTTCAGATAATGTCCTGGAGTATACTTCTCATCACAATAGTAACATAGCCCTTTAGCTCTTCTTGCACTCATCTCTTCATTCTTAAGAAAGGGCTGTGGTTTCTTTACTTCATTCTGCTTCTCATTCCCATCAGTAAGTAACTTTCTCTGCTCAAAAGGCTTTGGAGTCGGCAGAAGTCCTTTAGCAGAGCTATTGTTACTAGCCGTCTTTCCTTGAGACCAGCCTGGAGTGTGAACTTTGCGTGGGTGAGCAGTCTCATACAACCTCCCAAGCAACAAACATTCACGTACTGATTTTGGTTGAAACATCATTATGTGCATCTGAGTATCATTGTTTAAGCCTGCTAAATACGCACTCACCAAGTAACTCTCACTCAACTTCACCTTTGTGCGTATTAGTTCAAATTTGGCGTGATAGTCGCTAATACCAGATGTTTCCTACAATTTCTTCAAATCAGCAATGGGATCATCAAGTACTTCTTCAAATCTCTCCTTCAATAGCACTTTATATTGGTCCCAATCTTCAATCACATATGCATCTTGCTCAGATTGAGCTAAAGCTTGATGCCAAGCCGATGCTACACCATCGAAATGGATCGAAGCTAACCTCACTCTCAATTCTACCGGCGTATTATCAATCCCAAAGAATTCCTCCACTTTAAACAACCATTCTTTCACATTATCACCGTTGAATCGCGGAAAATCCACCTTGGATAACCTCGTCATAGCGGCGTAGTTATGTTGATTACCTTGCCGTTGACGTCGATAAAAATCCGTCGGTTGATTTTCACTCGTCGAAGCATTCATCGGATTGTTGTTCGTCATGATCTTGAATGTTTCGATCATCTCGCGAATGCTCTCCTCCGTTCGAGCAATACGTTCGTTCTGCAACTCAATCGCTTTCTCCAGCGCGTCAAAGCGAGTCAAAACCGCGCCATCAACTTCACGCGCCGTCGTGTTCTTCAAAGCTTGCGCTCGTGTCTCCGTCATGGATTCCGAGGTTCGTTTGACGTCTGATACCTTTGATACAGATAAACCGTAAGATGAATATAAGATTCCAATATCGATTCAATGTCAATTACAACAAAGAACCGATCTCACCAAGCCAAGAGCTTACACGAAGAAACAACTCAAAAGCGTTGACAAGATGAACAAGACAAGACGTACAGAGAAAAATTAGGGTTCTTTACAACAATTTCTGAATACTATGTAAAAAATGAACTACTCCTCCGTTATAAACTCGTTGCTTCCACCGTTTGTAACAAACTTCTTTCGTCTCCTTCTTCCGTCTACACGTGTCCTTTACCGTTAACTCTCAACGACCTTCATAATAGCTGACACGTGTAACTCCCTTTTTCCTATAACATGCGACGAGATTCTTTGAACAGTCGACGACTTCCTAGTGGGACATCTATCACATAGATGATGGATATATAAATCAAGAAGTAAAGTCAACCAAAGCAACTTAAGATTTTTTTGACGACAGAAACTTTAAATGGGCCCAATTAAGGCCCAACATATCACTTAATAAAGCTTCTTTTCGTAAGTGACTAGTAAGAAACGAAACTCAGAGAGAGAGAGAGAGAGAGAGAGAGAATGGGAAGGATATTTACGGTGGAGCTTGAGGGAAGATCTTACAGATGCAGGTTTTGCAGAACCCATCTCGCTCTTCCCGATGATCTTATCTCCAAGGTATTACTTTAATCTCTCCTTCTTACAGAACTTAGATAATTCACAAGTTCCATTTTTCTTGAAATGATAAACCATTTCTTGAGCTTGTTAGTTCGATTCCTATTTGTAGCATAGCTCCTTGGAAAAGTCGTTCTCTTGGTGAATTCTTTGTGGAAACACTCTATATAGGTTTCTTAGTTTAGCAAGTTAGGCGTCCTTCCTTCCTCTCCAAAACTATAAATTACAAAAAAAAACTGAAGAAAAAGCTTTATTTAGTTACTAAAAAATTCTCAAGTTAGTGTTTTTCTTCTGGGATTAAAGTATAATATATTGGAGAATTAAATTTATATTTTATGACACAACAACATATAAGCTGAATGTGTTACTAGAGTTACTTCTACTCAAACTCCTGTGTTATTAGAAATAAGGTCTATCTTTATAATATCAGAAACTGAAGTAAATATAGTATAATGTTTGTTTAAGCTGCATGATGTGCTATCCATTTTGAGTGTAATCTTTATTCTGAGTCTCTGACTCATCTTTTTTTTTTTTTTTGTGGCAGTCATTTCATTGCCGCAGAGGAAAGGCTTACCTCTTCAATCGTTCGTAAGTAAAAACTTATTTGATATGATTATGGTCTTGTTCTGTTTCTTCAATGTCAAGCAGTACAAAATTACACTTGTCTGTTTAGCAATATTAAGTTCTAGTTTTCTGTTAACAATGTTCGGTCTCTCTGCATTGATACCCTTTACAAGTATCTCTAATGCAAGTTTTATTTAATGCATATATGGTATTTGGATATACGTAGAGTGAATATAAGTATGGGTCCTTTAGAGGAAAGGATGATGCTTTCGGGTATGCACACTGTTGCTGATATCTTCTGCTGCTGTTGCGGACAGAATGTTGGTTGGAAATATGTAAAATCTCACTCTTAACTTACTCTTTCTTGTTAGTCTTACTTCTACGTATCTTGTGAGTTACTCGTTTTTGCATTGTTGCTTTCTTGTTTGTTTGTTTGTTTGTAGGAGTCAGCGCATGAGAAAGCTCAGAAGTACAAAGAAGGCAAATTTGTTCTGGAAAGGTAAACATCTTCTCTTCTGAAAAGTCCCACACATTTTTAGCCATAAACTTTGGTTTTATTTTTGTTTTACAGAGGAAGGATCGTGGATGAAATCGATTTATCAACGGAGGTTTACATCGATACTCGAAGCGACACAGAAGATTCTTGAAATGTTAGCTTTAGATTCTAAATGTTTGTGTGTTTTGGAATAATGTTTGTCAAGATCAGAGCTTGTTAGTGTAAAATTGTGTAGGTGTAGCACGAGGTTTATAAGAGATGTGTACGGGAGGCACTTGCTGTGTTGTTGTTTATTGTCTCAATGACCCTCGGACTTTCTAGATGGGGTCTCTTGTTTTTTTTTTTTTTACTTGTGTAAAAACCCATCCAAGAGGTTGTTGAATAAGTGCTTTGATTAATCAAGAGCATGCCCAATGGTAGCGCTTTGATCAGTTAAGAGCATGATAATACGATAAGGATAGAATCAGATATCTTAGGGATTTAGACTCATCTAATATATTCCTATTACTAACTGGTTTAAGTTATGTACGTTGTATAAATACCTTACACTGGTGAATGAATAAGATATACAAGTTTTACTTTTATATGGTATTAGAGCTAAAAGATCTACAATCTACAAATGTTTCTACTTCGTGATCAATAATTCTTCTATTTCCATACCTTAGTTACCATCAAATATCGTCAACAAAGATGGCTGACGGTAACACAAGTTCTTCTATTACTAATCCTACGTCTCAGACTGCCTCAACTGATCTAACTCAACATCGGTTCTTCTGAGTGGTCTACGGAACTTCAGAACTCACTTCAAGCCAAGAAGAAAACTGGATTTATCGATGGGAACTATTCATAAACCGGATGCAGAACCTGATCTATCCTGCCGGCTTGCGGCAAAATCCATGATCGTTGGATGGATCCGTACCTCCATTGATGCCAAGGTCAGATCTACTGTTACACATGTTACAGATACTCACAAGCTCTGGGAATCGTTACGCTTCCGCTTCTCCGCCAAAAATGGAGCTTGTATACATAACCTGTAGGATGAGATTACAAATTGCAAACAAGATGGCAAATCTGTTCTTCAGTACTACGAAAAAACTTACCAGCTTTTGGGAGGAACTACAGAATCTCAAAACTTCTGATACTTGCACGTGTGTGTAGGAGGTGGGCCGTACCTGCCCTTCAAGGCCCACGAGAAATCACACTCGGCCCGGCAACAACTGAAGTCAGACCCGAGTGGCGTCCGTACGAGTATGAAAGCGGATTGTTGAGCCAACGACAGGCCCAATACTGGAGGCCCATGAACCGAGAGCGACCTAGGTTAAGACCGAAGAGCTCGAGCTATAAAAGGGGAGAGAGGCAACACAAGAGGGGGAAAAAAAATTAGAGACGGAGACGGCGGCATAGACTAGAGCAAGTAGCTAGACTTATTTCGTTGTCTTTACTGACTAAACCCGAATCTCGGCACGGCTTCCGGACGCCGGGATTCTTTCTGTACTCTCTCCGTTTATAAATAAAACCTGTTCACTCGGTTCATTTAGATTCGCACCTTTGTAATAACCCACCGACGAGTCCTGTCACTCATTTCACTGATACACGACCGAACTCGGTACAAACAGTTGGCGCCCACCGTGGGGCATAACAAAGTAGTGTGGTAAAAAAAATGAACGAAGAAACCCCTCCCGCCGACGAGCAGACGGAGGAAACGCCGCCGGTTCAGAACCCTGAAACCCTCATGGATTCCGTCTTGGCTCGCCTTGCTCACCAAGAAGAGGTTCAAAAAACGACTAACGAGCACCTTGCGGCCATCGCCGCCACACTCGCAAACCCAGACGGAAATCTCTCCACGGCTCGCCGATTCCTCTTCAACACAAACCCTACTCCTACTCCGGCGAACCAACCCATCCAGCCGACCGACACACCGGTTGACACCGCTCAACCGGCTGACAACCCAGATCTGCGAACCATTCGGGAGATCGCCGAGCTAAAACTCGCACTACAGGAGATTCACTCTCAGATCCACCACGTGACGAGTGCGGCCCCCCAGATAGATAAGGTTCTCGCGACCGCCCTCCGTACACCCTTCACTCGTCGCATTACCGACGTTCGGCTACGAATCACGGAGAAAATCCGCCTGCCTACTTTTGGCGGCACTGACGACCCATCGGAACATATGACGGCATTCAACATCGCCATGGGTCGAGCGAACTTCACCGACGCCGAACGAGACGCCGGTTTTTGCCAGCGGTTCGTTGAGAGTCTCGAAGGAGCCGCGCTGAACTGGTTCTCACGCCTGCCGGAGAACTCCATTGACACTTTTCGCGACCTCTCTACGGCCTTCTTGAAGCATTACATCATGTTCACCAACCAGAAAGCCACCGCTTCCGACCTGTGGAAGCTGTCCCAGTTGCACGGTCAGACCCTGAGAGATTTCATGGAGAAATTCAAGGAAGTCGTATCCAAGGTAGACGTCCCCGACAACATCGCAGTGGACGCCCTGAAAAACACGCTTTACATCCACTCAAAGTTCCGAGAAGACCTCTATCGCAACCCAACGACTTCACTTCAAGACGCCATCGCGCGTTCGAACAATTTCATCCGAATGGAAGAAGATACCAAGGCGATGATAAGTAAACAACACGCGAACAAACCTGCACCGAGCAAGACCTCCGATTCAAAGCAAGAGCCGAGACAACACTCGGCGGACGAAAAACAGTCCAAGAAGAAGAGCTTCGTCTACATGGTAGACGAGGACGCCATCTCCGACTCGACGGTTGTAGTTCGCGCCAAAGGATGGAATCACTATAACCGAAAGGAGGACGATGCATCGGGCGAACCAACGTCCCAAAAACCTGACACCGACGAGCGCGAACCATATTGCTCGTACCACAAATCCAGGGCGCACGACTCGAAGGATTGCAAGCAGCTCAAGGAGATATTGTTCGGAAAATACTCCCGTGGTGAAATCCCAACAGATCCTCCAAAGCCGCGTCCGAAAGGAAATAATAGCTGGAGCAAGAACAAGGACAAAAGAGGGCAGAAACCACCCGGCACGCCTAGCAGGGCAAAAGAAGACGCATCAAAACCTGAGGAAAAAACCGAGCCCCGCGATCGCGACGAACCGCCCCCCGAGGAGGAACAACCAAAAAATAGGAAGAGGATCCAGGTCATACTGACCGGCCCCGAGTCATCATCCGACGACGAGAACGAATCCCGCGACTTACGTACGCTCCTTACCACACGACGCCTGGCCCGCACGCCGGATGCCTCCCACGATCTCCGAGATACCATAAATCGTTGCAAAACCCGCCGAATCTCACCAGAAGCGAAAGCTGTCGACCTCCGGGATAAGTTGAATTCCGCTAAGAAAGATCTCCGGGAAACGCTTAACCAATCGAAGCAACTTGATCTACGCAAGCATTTAGATACGATTAAATCCCTCGCCAAGTCCAATCCGCATTCAGGAACAAGCGCTCGGCTAAATTTTATCATGGGAGGCTCACCGCCTTACGATGAGTCAGTACGTTCTGTACAAACCGACCACAAACGCGCGAAATCCTCCGGAGGCCGGCATGTGCAACCCCCAGACGAGCCTCGAATCACGTTCTCCGCCGAAGACGCCCGCGGGGTACACATGCCTCACAACGATCCACTGTTAATCGAGGTAGGGATCGCCGACTGCGAGGTAACTAAAGTCCTCATTGACACGGGTAGTTCCGTGGACTTGATTTTCTACAATACCCTCGAGAAGATGGGAGTCGATCTCCGACTAATCAAGCCCTCAACTCGCTCCCTAACCGGATTCAACGGCGCATCCGAAGATATGCTCGGCACTATTCGTCTTCCGGTGTATGCCGGGGGAATAGCGCGAACTGTCAAATTCTCTATAATCGGTACGAGTGCCCCGTATCACGTAATACTCGGAACGCCTTGGCTGCATTCGATGAAAGCGATCTCATCCCACCTACCATCAGTGCGTCAAGTTCCCAGGCAACGACGGCAGCATCCGCACGCTTCGCGGCGATCAGGAAGCAGCTCGCGCGTTGCTCGTAGCAAACATCAAGCAAAGTTCACGCCGAGTAAATAATGTAACCGCCAAACCAATACACAAAATCTATCCCCAGAAAGAGGAGATCCAGGAAGTTCTGCTTGATGACAGCGATCCGAGTAGGGTGGTTCGGGTAGGCGCATACCTACCGGATGCAATGAAGCGAGATATCGTCGAATTCTTGCGAGCCAATCAGTCGACCTTTGCTTGGGAGACATCAGATATGAAGTGAATCGACCCCTCGATCACTACACACCAGCTGAACGTCGACCCAACTTTTAAACCTATCAGGCAGAAGAGGCGAAAACTGGGACCCGAACGATCTAAGGCGGTAAATGACGAGGTCGAACGGCTACTCGCAGCCGGCTCAATTACGGAAGTTCGGTACCCCGAGTGGTTAGCCAACCCGGTCGTCGTAAAAAAAAAGAACGGCAAATGGCGTGTCTGCGTCGACTTTACCGATCTCAACAAGGCCTCCCCGAAAGACAGTTTCCCACTCCCCCACATCGATCGCCTAGTTGAATCGACTGCCGGAAATGAACTGTTAACATTCATGGACGCATTCTTAGGTTACAATCAAATCTCCATGCATCCCGACGACCGAGAGAAAACCGCGTTCATCACAGACAGAGGAACATATTGCTATAAGGTCATGCCTTTCGGACTAAAGAACGCGGGCGCGACCTACCAGCGTCTCGTCAACAAAATGTTCGCGGACGACCTCGGCCGCACAATGGAAGTTTATATTGACGACATGCTGGTGAAATCGTCCCACGCAGCCGACCACCCGGGGCACCTCGCGGCATGTTTCCGCACCTTGAACGAGTACGGCATGAAATTAAACCCGGCAAAGTGCACATTCGGGGTTACCTCTGGCGAATTCCTCGGATACATCGTGACACAAAGAGGAATCGAAGCCAACCCAAAGCAGATCTCGGCAATTCTCGACCTTCCCAGCCCAAGAAACAGCCGCGAAGTCCAACGTCTAACCGGCCGTATTGCAGCCTTAAATAGGTTCATATCCCGATCAACAGATAAATGCCTCCCGTTCTACGAACTCCTTCGAGGGAACAAGCGTTTCATCTGGGACGAGAACTGCGAAGCGGCGTTCGCACAGCTGAAACAGTACCTCACCACGCCCCCGGTACTCTCGAAACCCGAGTCCGGTGATATCCTCTCCCTCTACATCGCCGTATCCACAACCGCAGTTAGCAGTGTTCTAATCAAGGACGATCGCGGAGAACAAAAGCCGATATTCTATACCAGTAAGCGTATGACCGAACCCGAGATGCGTTATCCAACTCTTGAAAAAATGGCCCTCGCGGTCATCACCTCCGCACGCAAACTCCGACCATATTTCCAATCTCACACGGTCGAAGTTCTGACAAACTATCCACTGCGGACAGTCATGCAAAACACCAACCAATCGGGTCGACTGTCCAAATGGGCGATCGAATTAAGCGAGCATGACGTTGTGTTCAAAGGACGCCCCGCCGC